AAATTACTCTAGACAAAAAACATTTGTGTCTTTTTTTATTGCTGAAGTGTGTTGAAATTTCTTCTTCTGCATTCTACTGTACGGACGTAAATTTACTTTCCCTTCAGTCTGAGGCTTATTCATTTCACTTTTGTGAAAAGGCTTTTATATTTGCCAAAAATCGAACTTTTTTATTTTAAAAACAAACAAGCAAGCCCTGTCCAGATTTAAAAAGTAACGTAACGCATTACTTTCCATAAAAAGTAACTAAGTAACGTAATTAGTTACTTTTTTATGGAGTAACGCAATATTGTAATGCATTACTTTTAAAAGTAACTTTCTCCAACACTGTTAGTTATACAGACAGTCATCGTTCTGATATTGTTCTCCTCTGCAGGGTTTGTATGTGAGTGATTGCAAGGACCCGTTATGAGCCGTCCACCCTCAATGCAGCCGCAGATGTGCGGCCCCTGGGAACTGAAGGAGCGACTGGGAACCGGAGGCTTCGGGAATGTCACTCTCTGGCAAAATAAGGTACAACACGGTTCCTTTTTTCATTAAAACAAAGATACAGACAAGCATTTCACATTCATAAATCCTCTGCAGTGAATGGGTGCCGTCAGAATGAGAGCCCAAACAGCTGATAAAAACATCACAATAATCCACAGCACGCCAGTCCATCAGTTAATGTCTTTATAAGACAAAAGCTGCGTGTTTGTGAGAAACTAATCCATCATTGAGACATTTTTAACTTCAAACCGTTGCTTCCAACTAAAATATGAATCCGCTAAGCATAATAACGCTTCCTCCAGTGAAAACGTCTGGTCTGAATCAGGAGAGAAATCTGCACAGATCAAGCACCGTTTACAAGCCAAAACAGTCCAAAATAGCTTAAAACAAATATGTGGGTGGAATTTGATGTGAGAGACAACAGGAGATGGACTTTTTCACTGGAAGAAAAAGACTGATATTTTAGAAAGAAGTAAGGGTTTGAAGTTAAAACATCTTAATGATGGATTTGTTTCAGCTTTTGTCTTCTCCAGATGTTAACTGATGGACTGGAGTGGTGTGGATTATTGTGATGTTTTTATCAGCTGTTTGGACTCTCATTCTGACGGCACCCATTCACTGCAGAGCATCCACTGGTGAGCAAATGACTACGTTTACATGGACATCAGTAATCTAATTATTTACCTTATTCTAAATAAGCCAATATTATGATTAAGGTGTTTACATGAGTTGCTTTTCAGTCCTCATGTGACGCCATCCAACGTCCACTCCAGAATTTCACGTATAAACATATAGTTCATCTTCGTTATGTTTTGGGTGTTTCATTTTTAATTTACTGAAAGCTTCAAGTGCAGTTAATTATTAGTCATGCTGTCGCTGCGTGCAAACAGACAACGGCGTTGTTGAAGCCATGCTCTTTTGTTTGCCGTCAAACGGTTGACCAGTGCCGTGTGTGTGTCCTGTCGCAAAATTCGGCGAAAAGTCCTACACGACGATAATAGTGTGATTAAGGTGTTTACATGTCTATACTGCACTTCAATAATGCAACTAAAATAGGAATACTCCACGTCTTAATTCGATTTGTGTTTACTTCGAGTATGACTTTAGTCAGATTAAGGTAATCAAAAATCTCTGTTTACATGGTAGATTCTTAATCAGAGTATTGTCTTAATCATGTTAAAATCAGAATAGTGTTGTCCATGTAAACATACTCAGTGATGCAATGCTACATTTCTCCAAATCTGATGAAGAAACAAACTCATCTGCATCTTGGATGGCCTGAGGGTGAGGACATTTTCAGCAAATTTGTTATTTTTGGGTGAACTATCTCTTTACCATGATTTACACTAGAACATTTTCCTGGATCAACATCCGTGCGGGTGCTGGAATAATATTCATATCAGGCAGGCAGATTAGTTTTAGGGTTTTAACAACATTCTTATCAACTTTTCATGTTACGCTTATTTGAGGACTGAATTATGGCATGATAAAGTTGGGAATGTTGTGAAAACAGGACTAAAGTGTTGAATTATGAGTGAATCAGGCTGACTGACAAACAGAAGTAGATGACTGTAAAGCCATTCTCATGACATTCAGCGTGCGTCAGTGTGCATTTACTGTCCGCTGTGCAGCAGGTGCATTAAACTGATTTATTGATTCCTGTTCAAATACATTGTGAAACACGTATTTTTTATAGTATATATGTGGCTTCAGATGCTCAGTTTTAGTGTGGAGATATGCACACTATTATATTAATTTATGATAATAAATAATTTCACGCTTCAGGAGGATATTGGAAATCTGTTACTTGAAATCTAATTTAAACCTGAAAATAAACACATTTTTAGGATCTTCAAAAGTATAAAACATTTTATGAAAATTGCTTCAGAAATATTTAACATTCTGCTCTATTTCTATGTAAGTGTGCGATTTATCATGTTATGCAGGGATAACATGAATAATCATGTTCAGGTTTAAATGAAATTTGTTAATTGTTCAGTTAAACTTTTATAAATGATGATTATAAAATGTATCTATGCATGCATTTATGCAGTTATACATGTATGCATATATAAAAATTCAAGGTTGTAGTCAGGGTTATTATTAACACAAAAACCATTAAAATGTGATTAATGAAATAAAATAAAAACTTAAACAAAAATAGCTGAAATAAAAAGAGTTTAAAGTGAGTTAATGTTGAAGTACTAAAATAACTAACACGATACAAACTAAAATGTAATAAAAAACAACAAAAGCATAACAAATCTATAGTAAAACTTTAAAATTAAAATGAAAACAGAAAATATAAAAAATGAAATCTAATTCAAAATATGAACAAAAGCTCTAATACTATATCAATGAGGTTGTAGTATGGCACAGTGTTTAACTAGGAAAATAAAAAATGGCATTTCATGAAAAAACAGGTTATCGAATCCTGGTTTAGGATAATGATACTTCAATGTGAATGCTATTCCAGGATCAAGAAAGGATGTTGATCATGTACTATGTAACTAAGTCACATATCATGTTCATTTGTTTCTCAAATTGGGTTCACAGTTCTTTTTTTGGTGGTCTGCCGGTAAATGGCCCACCCCATCCTGGATAAAGGTGTGTGAAAGTCTTAAAATAAAGGCACTTCAGACTCCCATTCTTTAATTTGTACAGCACTGGGATTGTAACAATGAAAAGTTCTCAAGAAAGAGGAAATACATCTACCTGCTGTGTCCCACTTCCTGTAACGGGTGACCTCATGATCACTCACTGCCTGAACTGGCATATATTCACACACACACACACACACACACTTAAAGAGGTTTACTGAGCATGACGGACGGTCGTGTCGTCTTTAAGGAATGCTCAAGTACATTAAACATTAACAGCTTTAATTAGTTGCAGTTTGTTTGCTAGGTAAATCATCACTGGTATAGAGAGATGTGCTGGTACTTTACTAAATGAACACATGCACCATCTTCACCTGCTGGACCATAAAACGGGTGAAAAAATCCCAAGGATGGACCTGTTCCGAATCTACAGATCAGAAGACCAGGTTTTATTGTCTGTACATCCTGTCCAGCACAGGTTGAGTTCAGACTCACACCCTTTTATGGTCAGTAGTATGTCATCATGTCATGTTACTAATAATCAGGGTGTTGGTGAAGCGGATGTTGGTGGCCACTCACTGATACCAGTGTGGAAACACTGTGGTTTGGTGCAAACCAGACCAAAAAAGACCAGCTTGAATAATGAAATAATCATAATAAATGAATAGCAGAAGCATTTTCACTAGTGTTTTCATGTATGGAGCTGTCATTGCAGTTAAAGACTCTTGACGCGATGTCATTGAGTTTATTCAATGCAGTGCATCATGTTCGCTTACTCACCTGATTGCATTGCTTTCTCTCTTTCTCCCGTTTCCGCATGATGTCAAGTGGTCGTCATAATTCCTGTCATGAGAAGTCAAGTGAACTAAAGGAAGCGAAATAGGAAATGGGCAAGATAGAATTCAAGTGCCGCCTTTTTGATTTCCTCTCTGAATTTCACGATTGTACGACGTAATTCTTTATTTGTCACAGAGACACTCATGCATTTATCATCTGTCATTATCATTCATTTATTACTATATGCTTGTAAACTCACATTAGGCTCCAAGGGTCACAGGGTCTCCAAGAGTTTAACTTTATATTGTTATGCTGTTTTGTTCATGTGCTTCTCCCATTTGCTCTTTTTACATTGACTATCACTCTAGACTAATACAATCAGATACAATAATAACTTTTCAAATATTTATTACAATATACACTGATAATTACATTCACTTTAATGACACTTTAATGCTTTCAACTGATTTCCTATTAAACCAGTTACCTCACCTGAAAATGTTCGTATAGATTTGTGTTGGATGTTATCTTTGCAATGGAAATATGGGTATTTTATTTGTAAACATCATGCTTTTTTTGCTTATTTCAGTTAATGTCATAAAACTAGCGAGCTAAGGCAGTATTAGTACTGACAGTGTCGTGTAAACATGGCTGAAGACGCGAAAAGCGGAGGAACAGACAAACCGATTCAATTGAGTGAGTCATTTATGCTGGAACCGCTCTGATTGATTCAAACTCGTGACTTCGATCATTCAGTTCAAGCGAATTACTAGCCAAAACCAGATCAAAAGAGCCTTCTATTTTTGAATTTAGACATCACTTGTAAAGATTTTAAAGGGGTCCTATTATGCTTTTTCACTTTTTTAATTTTAGTCAGTGTGTAGTGTGTATGTTTGGGCATAAAAAAGATCTAGAAAGTTACAAATCTCAAAGTCCACTCCAAAGGGAGATATTTCGTTTTTTAAAAATCCCTTTTCAAGAACTACAACGAACAAAATCAAGACTTTGTAAAAGAGCATAATAGGACCCCTTTAAAAAGCAGATATAGTGATTCAAAAGTCCGAATCATTTAAACGATTGCGTCGCAAAATGGTTCACTGTTTTGAATTGCTTCAAACGGAACGTGTTTCGCGAATCATTTGATTCAGATTGGGACTTCGGAGCGGGTTCGCGAATCATTTGATTCAGATTGGGACTTCGGAGCGGGTTCGCGAATCATTTGATTTACATCGGAACTTCCCATGTCGCAAATCATTTGATTCAGATCGAGACTTTAGAGTGGGTTTAGAGCGATCCTGGCTTGGAAGTCCCGATCTGAAATGATGGTTCGCGAATCATTATTCAGATCGGAACTACGGAGCGCAAATCTTTTGATTCAGATCAGAAATTCAGATCGGGACTTCGGTGCGGGTTCGTGAATCATTTGATTCAGATCGGAAGCGCGTATCGTGAATCTTTTTTTCTGATTTTTTTTATTAAACGGTACAAATGATCAAACCATTAATGCAGTAAAGTTATTAAAACAGAACAGAAAAAAGAAAGAAACAACGAATACACAAATAGAAATCCCTTAAGAAAATTAGCCGTGGTTTTACTATAGTAAGTGTGTAGTAACCACAAATAACATGGTTAAACTATGGTTAGTGTAGAAAAACCATGGTTAATTTGTATAGTTTAACAAGTACTTGACTAGATCAAGTTTGAATAAGGAAAAGAGAGATTTAGAGCCAGTAAATTTTTGTTTGTGAAATTTAGCTAGCAGTAAAACACAAATTACATTATTTAATGACCATTTTTAAAAATCTGAGAAAATTTCAGTGCGCGTATACATTGCCAAACAAGTGAATGAATCTTTCTCAAAAGAGTGACATAAACAGCAACTCACATTAATGACTGACTTGTATTAAAATTATGTCCATAAGGCTGTTTGTGAAATTTGGTAACTCATTAAAGGGTTAGTTCACCCAAAAATGAAAATTAGTGTTTTACTCACTTTTCATAGGAAAAATAACCATGTGACAAATATGACATATGACAGATAACGGAAGTGAGAGAAAAGTGTTTATTACGTTTGAAATATTGATATTTTTCTTATGAAAACGCATGGATTCACTACAGAAGGCCTTTATTCACCCCCCCGGATCCATGTGAGGCACGTTTTATTATAAATGCGCGCACATTATTTGACGACTTGTGGACAGTTAAACAGAAACACCCGCCCACTAATGATAGAGCTTGGAATAGCCAGGACAATTTTTTATATAACCCCGATATGATTCGTCTGAAAGAAGAAAGTCATATACACCTAGGATGCCCCGAGGGTGAGTAAATCACAGGCTAATTTTCATTTTTGGGTGAACTAACCCTTTAATCTGTTTTTGACCTCTTCATGTTTAAGGAGAGAACTATAGTTTCCAAAGGCGGACATCGCTTGTTACGATTTTCAAGAGTGTAGAATGCTATGCATGTCCCTACCAATATCCAGCGACTACTAAACTGTCCCTAGCAATAATTTTGATCAAACAGGTAAATGCCTGTTTTCTGCCATTATGTCCCCACCAATGCCAAAATCAAACCTACGGCCTTGGATCATTTCCACTTTACCATTTTTTGTGGCCGCATCAGAATACCATGGAATTACTATCGTGGTACTGTTATTTTTAACTATGAATTTGCTTTTTGTCTGTCATGTTTTACTAACATGTGTTGGTATATCTGTGTGTGTGTGTGTGTGTGTGTGTGTGTGAGCAGGAAAGTGCCAATCAGATCGCTATCAAACAGTGCCGGCAGGAGCTCAGCCCCAAGAATAAGGGCAGATGGAGTTTAGAGATTCAGATCATGAAGAGGTGAGTATATCCTGTCCAGAATCAATTTCCTGTTTTCTGCCACCTGTAGGTCACTACAGTTCACACACACACACACACACACACACACACACAGATCCGAAGAGGCGTTTACATGGAAGTCTGATCCGCGTCAGAGAGGCTGGAACATGTACATTAAAAACAAACTATTACTGTTTTTGGTGCAAAAACTCTACAAACTCTGTCAGTAGATATCCCGGTGATGAAACAATGAAAATAGAGTATGCTATGACCCATTAACAGTAATTCTGGTAATAACTACATCTGTTTTTTCTTTGGGCTGAATCATGTTGGTTTTCACGTCACAGCTTATGCTTCTTTAAAGAGAAAGCACTATTTTCGTTGGATTTTTCCTTTTTCACCCACTGAATCTCTTCTGTTTACCATGTTTTAATGTGCAGTCCATTAAGCGACCACGCAATGCCTTCCGTTGTTATTCGGCTATTTATATATGTTTTTATGAACAAAAGCTCTGAGCAAAACAAAGAGGGATGAATTTATGACACCACAGTAGTAAAAAGTGACCCAGTCTTGTGGCCGCAGCATTGGTTTGCGCCGTCACAACACCTTCAGGCTCATCTTAAATTAGGAGCGAGTGCATCTCTGGCTTTCTCGGGAGGTTTTCCTCCTGTTAGTGGTTTAGGGGTGAGTTTGTTGTGGCCGTATTCATGTCCAGTTGTTTATTGGAAACTGCTTATTGTATTAAGGCGTATTTGGGTGTAAACACATGCAAACTATTATGAAGAAATATTGATTTTTGAAGGCTCTCCACAACATGTCAGCGACAATAGGAGACAATTGTTTCTTTGTACCTTCTGTGCCAGATATTTTTGAGTTTAAAGTGTTAGTTCAGCCAGAAATGAAAATTAAGTCATCATTTACTCACCCTGGGGCCAGGTACATAAATTTAGCCTCTACTGTATGTTATTAAGAACTAGTCTAACTAACCAGTAGTTAGCCAAGGGGTAATGAGTCTTTTTTCAGATTCAAATTAGAACAATGTTTTGTTGGTATGACCAAAAGAAAGAAATAGCGGCAAATTCCAGAAGATCTGGCCGAGGTGAGGCTGCTCTCGGCGGGTTTGTGAGCACTGAACGGCCGCTGACGCCCTGGAGCTCACATCTCCGAAAACGTCAGAGCAAATTTTCAAATAGATGTTATTTTTATTAACAAACTGCATATTTTAAGTCTAAACAAGTACATTCTCGCCTAAAAAACTCTTAAAACTACATTCCGTGACACAAAAACAGTAATATTTATGAAATTATAGTGCATTATAGTGCACTTGAACTAAAGTTCAAGGAAATCCACTGTTAAAAATCCACCGTTCTTTTTATTTATTTATATTTAATTCAGTAAATGCATGATGTTTCCCAAGTCAGTGAGTAATTGTGGTAAATAAATCATGTTCTCAATATTGACCAAAATAATTGTGATTATTATTTTTTACATAATCGAGCAGTCTTGCCACATTTTATGTATTTTTTTATATTCAATCTTTGGCGCCTTCCAGTGGAAAAAAAAGCACCATAGTACAGTAAGGGTACATTTTGTGGTACTTTGATCAATTCCATGTCACTGAATGATTACCATATTCACACATACGCATATTTAACGATTATCATAGCATTACCAAGGCACATGTCCTCAGTAATACTACTGTGTTTTTTATAGTTTTAGATAGTTTTCCAGCACAATCTGGGTTTCATCCATACTAAATTTAATCTACACATTGTGAAAGAGTTAAATGGTGCACACAAACCATCCCTAGAGCTGTTTAATATGTATTTGAATAGTTAAAGTTCACCGAGTGTTGGAGTGTGAGTGTTTCCGTGACGTTCTGGTGTGGTTTGGATGGATTGTGCTAGTTAACCAGGCTGCAGTGATTATGTGACGAGCGCGAGGGGTTAGGGGACATGTTGGTTTTTTTCAGATTTATAGCAGGCTGTCCCCAGACTTGGTCTGAGCCACAAACATGGACTCAAACGCATCTAGTAGAGCTCAGTGTATAAAGCCAAACCACAGCGATCACAAACACACACACACACACACAGATGTTTTTGGGGAACACACCCAGGCCAACTGAGTTTCTCTATTTCACACATTCAGTGTTCATCAAGCCTTAATTATGATGAGATCAGAGTTAGTCTCAGAAATGACCTTCAGTTGGAGCTGCTCACCCTTTGCTGTGGAGGGACAGGAATCCCATCATGTTTTCCAGGGTATTTAACTGTATTGGCAACAGCTCAGAAATAAACTGACGTCAAAACGGCACGCAGTCTGATTAAAGTCACCCATCATGATAACTGAGCAGTGCTTCTCAGAGCGTGTTCGACTCTGAAGTGTCCACTGTAACCCTGTGAGCGGTCATGTAACGATAACATACCATTTGTGATGAATCTTTGCTGTCTGTCATAAGGATCTTTCTCAGATTCAGGTTCAGAGCACTGATTGATGTAATGTTTGGTCATCCTGAACACTGGTTATTGTTGAGGAACCACACTGAAACTCTAGATACACTGCTAAAACGACTTCTAAGTACATTTTTATTGACTAGTTAAAATATCTGTGAATCTTTCAAAAAAAAAAAAAAAAGCAACACTACATAAGATATTGTAACAGTTTTCAAATAATGGATCTTTAATATGAGGGTATTTTGACTTACTGCAATGGAAAAGGTCACTTATTTGTAGTTTAAACAAGCAAAAAAAAAAAAACAAGTTAAAAAATCTGCCAGTGCAGATGCCAAGACAAAATACCCTCTTATTGAAGATACAATTTGATGCAGTGCTACTTTTTAAGTAAACTTATCTTGTTTTAAGGAATGTTAGATATTTTAACTGGAAAACAAGATGAAAATAGTCATAAAGAATGATGTTTTGCAGTGTAACCTTTTGAAAATGCAGTTAGCTACTTTACAGGTTTACAATACACAAACAACAACTTATATTGAAGCTGTATAAAGCTGATAATACAGCAATATTGGGACATTCTACCAGGACTAAAATTATCAGAATTCAGAAACAGAATCAGAATTATGTCTTGAAGCTACAATTTGTGTTTGCATGTCTAGAGTTTAAAGAAATGGCCTTTAAAGTCACAATGTGATGGAAATAGTGACAGATCAGTTGTTTCTGTAAGGTACAGTGGGTACGGAAAGTATTCAGACCCCCTTAAATTTTGGTAAGCCAGATTTTTGAAAAAGTAAATAAAGACTGGAGGAATTGGTTCTGTCCATCGATTGTTGATTGTATAGAGGCAGATCTGAAAGGGGTGGAGTTTAAGCCGACAAAATTAGAGAAGTTTATCATTTCATTGGAAGATTGAGATTTTGGATTAAAAATTACATGCTCAAAAAAATAAAACATTCACAGTAAGGTCAATAAAATGCATTTAGAAAACCGTTAGAATTTCCATTTAAAGCCAACTTTAAAATTCATCGTTACTTAATTTTTGGGTTCAGAATAGGCATCAAATTTGTACTCGAGGCACCCGTGACATGATTGATTTGTGATGCACTAATCCCAGTTTTGCAGACTATACAGTTTGTGAATTGAATTTCAGTTATTGAATCGACGCAACTGGTGAACGTTTTTTTTTTTTTTAAGAGTAGGAGTTAATTGCGTTTTACTGTTGAAGATCTCAAGCACAGTAAGAGATTAAAGCATTGGCTTATAATTGAAGGAAATTAAAAAGTGTGACACATTTTCACGGTTTGGTTGCTGAATCTTTTTTCGAGATAAAGAAAAGCCAAAAAGATGCAATATAACACCTCTTATGCAAGTCACCCGTCTTCACTCAAGACCTAATATTTGTTATTACAGCAGTTATGTCAGAATGTTTGCCTGTGAAGGCTAAAACGAGCTGTTTATGTTCTCAGATGATAGTTTTAGGTGTTGCCGCTGCAGTTATCCTGTTATGGTGCCTGGATTCCATCTGGTTTTACTCCTCTTTGTCCTGAGCGTGTGTTTTATAGGAGGTTCGTGCAGGGCAGGGCCGGCCAGCCGTCTGAATATTACAAGCACATTTTTAATAATGACATTATGTAACCCAGATTATGAGAGGGTTGCATGTACATTGAGTTCTCTGTTGTTTGCACGTTACGATGAAACGTCTCTCTTCTTGCAGGTTGAATCACATGAATGTGGTGGCGGCGAGAGACGTTCCAGAAGAGCTCCAGAAACTGGCCACAAATGACCTGCCATTGCTGGCCATGGAGTACTGCCAGGGAGGAGACCTGCGCAAGGTGTGGCACTTACAGAAAAGTTTTTGGGCATGTTCTATGGTGATAGCATGGGTTTTTGGACATGTAGCATAGTAATACCATAGTATATGAATATTCTAATAGTTTAGTTGTAGGGCTGGATTAATAAAAAAAATTAAAAAAGCAATTTAAATAAATAAATACACTACCGGTCAAAAGTTTGGGATCAGTGAGACTTGTAATGTTTTTTAAAGAAGTCTCTTCTGCTCGTCAAGGCTGCGTTTATTTGATCAAAAATACAGAAAAAAACAGTAATCTTGCAAAATGTTATTACAATATAAAATAATGGTTTCTATTTTAATATCCTTTAAAATATAATTTATTTCTGTGATGCAAAGCTGAATTTCCATCATCATTACTCCAGTATAAAGTGTCACATGATCCTTCAGAAATCACTCTAATATGCTGATTTATTATTAGAATTATCAATGTTGGCAACAGTTGTGCTGCCAAATATTTTTTTGGAAAACTGCAATACTTTTT